AATTTTTTCAGTTAGAATCAAGTCCCTATTCCTGGGCACTGCAGCCAGGCCTGATGCACAGAGACTTCTCCAAACCTGTTACAGGAGCAAACACCTTGCTCTTGGAATGCTTTTACAGGTATTTTCTCATCTGAGCTTCACAAAAGCACATGAAAAGGGAGTGTTAGATGTTATGATCTGTATTTTGAAGATAGTACCTCGAGTCACAACGTAGATAAGTAAGTTGCCTCAGTTCCATCCAAGCAACAGAATAAAAGTTGGCCACCTGTAGCAGCCAGGCTTTTAGGACATTACTTCCTTCTTTTCTACTAAACCACACTATGACATCAGGCTTCCTAGAGCTGGGCTTCTTGGACTTTTATGTGCCTAAAAATTGCCTGGAGATCCCTGTTATATAGAAATTCTGATTCAGCTGGGGTGGGGTCTTCAATTCCGTGTGTGGGAAATGCCCCTTGCTTCTGGTCCTGTTACAGGAGCAAACACCTTGCATAACATAATAACATGTTTTATTTGTGACTGCATAATTTGAATAGCAAGAAAATGAACCCTTATACACCATTAGTGGGAATGTAAATTGGTGCAGTCCCTATGGAAGTCAGTTATGGTGGCTCCTCAAAAACCTCAAAATAGAACCACCATATGACCCAGCTCTCCCACTCCTTGGTATTTATTATCTAAAAGGATTAAAATCAACATTCTTTAGAGAGACATTCACACCCATGTCTACAGCAGCGCAATTCACAATAGCCAAGTTATGTAATTAGCCTAGTAATCCATAAAGAGATGAATAGATAAGGAAAATGTGGTGTTTATACCACACAGAGTTTATTCAGCCATAAAGAAGAATGAAATGTTGTCATTTGCAGAAAAATAGATGGAACTAGAGACCATAATTTTAAGCAAAATAAGTCACACTCAGAAAGAAAAATATTGCATCTTTTTTTTTTTCCTATACGGAGGCTAGAGGCAGAAAATAAGAGGAAAGTGATGTCATGAAAATACAATGGAGATCATTAGGGTGGAAGCAGGCGACCAAGAGGCGAGAGGAGGGGAGGTATTGGAAGTGAAACCCATCAGTTTATGTTTTTAAGTGTATGCTACACTGAAACCCACCATTCTGTAGAATTACTAGGTGCCAATAAAAGAGCAATTTTTTAAAAGACCATAGGGGGCACTGACCATAACTAATCCATCTTTATATCCCACAGCTTGGCACATAGTAGGTGCTCAAAAAGTATGTGTTGACTTAATGAAAGACCAACCATGCTTGACCCACTCTTTGTATCTCTAGTGCTGATAAAATAGTAAAATTTGCAGTGAACAAGTAGCAAATTAATGACCTAATCAGCAGTCAATGAAACAAAGACAGATTGGCCTGTGCTCACACTCATGAAAACCAAGGACCGGGGGAGCGGAGAGCCCTTGAGACATAGCCCAGAGGCCCCCCGTTCTATCTGTTAAGTCCATAATAACATGTTTTATTTGTGACTGCATCCATCAGAATACACTCTTGCCTCTATATGTAAAATGATGAGTGTTTTCAAGATACTTTTTTATGCTTTGGAGACTTTGCCTCCCTAATGTTTCTTACCCAACTCAGTGAAGTAAACCAATCTCCACTTTCTGGCTTTTGCTCTGGGAAAAGATGTCTGAGTTTTCCTGTTTTCTCCAGCATTGCTGCAATTAGAGCCTGGGATTTCTTCCTCGCAGTAAAGACCTTGACACTCAGCTGAGTCTCAAGGGTTCTTTCATATAAATCAACTCCTATGTCTGCACATCACTACTGTGCAGTGGATGAAGGGTTTTATCTAAACAAAATATTTATTATTCTGAACTGAGTCATGGCTTTCTTAAGAGTAAGAAATGAGTACAACAGAATTTAGTTAAAATTATCTAAACAGTTGGTAAATAGAAAAATGTAACCCACATTAAAACCACTCATTTTCCAGGAATCCCATCCCACGAGGTCCCCAGTGTAAGTCATCCTGGCACTGTGACTCTGTCTCTGGGAAACATAAAGTCTCCTCTCATTTATAAACTAACCCATGAGGTGGTACCATGACCTGTTCCTAGCAGCCATTGAATCTTTCAGGAAGTGAGCTTCGGGAGGGAGGAAATAATAGCAAAAGCAGAGAGGCACGGGGAGTCGTTCCCTTCTTTACACACACCAGAGGCCGCTGCTTATTTTCTCATCTCTGCAGCCTTCGTCTTACCCTCCTGGGGCCACTTGACTCACACCAGAGACACAGTTTGGCCTCGTTATCTAGACATTTCCAGTTGTGAAACAAGAAAGATGTTGTAGACTTGAGAATAAAACTCTCTCGTTATAAAGAGGAAGAAGAAAAAAAAAAAAAAAAAAAAAAACTCCTACCAGGAGCAAAGCTGGTTTGCTACTCAGCTGCCTCAAGCCATGTAATGGTTACGTGGTTCCCTCCATCTCTCTGGCCCCCATTCCTTCGGGTCCCCATTCTTCCAGATGAACTTCACCATCAGGAAGGTGCCTTCTTGGGACAGCAGGATGGCCTCCAGTCCCCCACACTGACGTGGTTGTAGCTCAGCTGCCTCAATGGGAAGGCGGAGCCTCCTTGACTAGTATTTGTTAAAAAGTCCCCAAACACTTCTAGATTAGCTTAGTCCACTTGCTGGAAGCTCAGCTAATCACATTAGGCAGGGAATAGGGTGCTCTAAATAGCCAGGCCTGTAGGTCACCTCCTCCTGCGCTGGAAAGCAGATCCCCACTGAAACATAGCAACCAAGAATTCAGTTTGGAAGAGTAGTTCCCCAAAGGAAACTTGGGCTTCTATTACTACAAAAAGAAAGGGACCATGAACAGACAAGTAAGAGGTACCTGCTTCTAATATCTGACCTTACATTTTGTCAGAATTCTGATATCAAGGTTTCTTCTTGTTTCCAAAACTCAGATCCTAACCGAAACACCATTTCTGTCAACTGGTTCCCTCTCTTTCCTAAATGTGGGTCTTCTATTTGTAACCTGCCTGGTTAACAACAATAATGTTAGCTACTAGTGTTTAGCATAAACACTTTGTTTAACAAATATATGAAAAAATGTTCAACATCTCTAGCAGTCAGAGAAATGAAAATTAAAATTACACTGAGATTCCATCTCACTCCAGTCACGATGGAAATTATCAAGAATAGACGTAACAATAAGTGTTGTCGAGGACGTGGGGGAAAAGGTAGGCTCACACATTGCTGGTGGGGCTGCAAATCAGTACAACCACTCTGGAAAGTGGTATGGAGATTCCTCAGAAAACTAAGAATGGAACCACCATTTCACCCAATTATCCCACTTCTCGGTAAATACCCAAAAGACTTAAAATCAGCATGCTACAGTGACACAGCCACCTCAATGTTTATAGCAGCTCAATTCACAATAGCTAAGCTATGAAACCAACCTAGGTGCCCTTCAACAGATGAATGGATAAGGAAAACGTGGTATATATGTACAATGGAATATTAGCCATAAAGAAGAATGAAATTATGGCATTTGTCAATAAATGGATGGAACAGGAGACTCTCATGTTAAGTGGAATAAGCCAGTCCCAAATAAAACAACAGCCAAATGTTCTCTCTGATATGTAGAAGTTAACATCCAATAAGGGGTGGATAGAAGTTCATTGGATTAGACAAAGAGAAATGAAAGGAAGGGAAGAGGGATGAGAGTATGAAAGACAGTAAAATGAATAGGACATAAGTTTCCTATGTTTATAAATGAGTACATAACCAGTGAAATTCCACATCATATACAAATACAAGAATGGGATTCTAACTAGGATAAGTTATACTCTATGTATGTGTAATATAACAAAATACACTCTACAGTCATGTATGTCTAAAAAGAACAAAAAAACTAAAAAAAATACTTTGTCAGGATTTGTACTATATACATTATCTATTTTATCATCATAAGCAACTAGAAGTGTGCATTTTATCACAACTCCATTTTTAGTTGAACTGGGGCTCAGCATTAAGTAGCTTCCCAGGATAACATGACAGTTATGGAAGAACCAGGATTAAATGCCGGTTTGATTTCTGAGTCTAAGCCATTAATCACAGTGCTGTGTGGTCTGGCTACATTTTCAAGGACTTGCCTCCAATTAATGCTTGCCTGTTTTCAGGCAAATCACCTCACATCTTCTAACTTTAGCATCCTCATCTGTAAAGTGAGAAAAATGACCTGCTGCATCTGCCTATATCATTCCCCAGTGCTACCGTGAGGATTAAATGAGGTGGTGTATGAAGTAGCATTATGGTTGTGATTATTCCTCATATAATCAAGCAAAGTGACGGAGAGATAGATACAGAAATGCACTTGGATATAGAAACACACATGCAACACCAGTGCCCATAGTTACTTGCTTCCCGCTCTGCCAAGAATGGACGCCATATTCTGCCAGTTTCCCAATCCTCTCAGACACCCTGGACCTCAGTGTACCTTCTTCCCCTAAGAGCAAAGCTTCATTGTGTGCCCTACACATGCCCTACACCTGCCCTGTCGTCCAGTCAATTTTTTACAGTCTTGCTCTGCAAGTCTGGTGGCCACCCCTTAGAGGATCTTCTCTGGGTCAGAATTCCCCACCCAGGGCACCATGACACATGGGAACCTTAAGTCACTGTCCCTGCTTATTTTATCTCTTTGGCACTCATACCCACGGGACTGGAAAGAAGTCTTCAGCTCTGTCAATCAGAATTTTTAAAAGTGACAGAATGCATGGAGGTGAGACTACCATTTTCACCTATTTGATGGAAATTGTAAAAAGAAACAAAGTTGCCAAATCATAAAATTCAGAGGAGTGAAAAGAATTTGCACATGCCTCCACATCTCTGTCAGGAGCCCACTCCAAATGTCCATAGCAGTCTTATCATCTGTCATTTTCTTAGGGAGGGTGCAAATCAACACGGTTTAATTCTAATAATCTTACCAGTTAAACCTATTTTACAAGGTGTAATGGAGATTTTAAAAAAAAACAATTCTGAAATTCTGCTTAGCATTTCAGTTTCATTTTTCAACACAGAGAGGGCTTGGGAGAGTCAGAGAAGAAAGGTAATCCTAAGTGTCTTCATCACTCCAAGTGCTGAGCTGGCTCTTCTCAGAAGCCATTTCCTGCTTCCAGGGTGATCATTTCTCTTAGATCATTCCCTAAACAGAGTTTCTTAGAATTCTTGGGATTTGTCCTTAACAGCAGTAAGGCTATTTGTTAAGGCGTTTTTACCTTGAGAGATAAAACTGAAAAAAGCCCAGGAAGTCTTTTAAGATAGCAATTCTTCAGCTTAGCGCCAGTGCATCCTCAGCACACATAAAATGCAAATGCTGTATTTAAATAGTGTTTCAGCATTGTCAGGTAAGGTGCATTCATTAGACACCAGTGAACAAACAACTCTCTAGCCAAAATATTCAGTACCTCTGGGAGTTTACAAAATCTAGTTGCATAATGCTTTTGCTTTCTCCTATTTGCAGTGGACAGGTTTAAAAGGAGACGGGAATGCTCCTTTCTCACCTGTGATCAGGGATGTGATGGATGTCTGGGAGAATGTTCTCGGGAGCTATAAGTTAAGGGCTTTGTCCCCACAATTATCACTTCCTTCTTCTGGAGTTACTTAGCTCTCTGGGCCTCAGTTTTCTCATTCATGAAATACCAATCATTGTCACTTACCTCTAAGGATGGCTATTGCCTGCCCATGTTACTTCCATCTTTATCATAATAACACCTTCCTTTTTGGAGAAATCATTCCTTCCCTATTCTAATGAACTCTTCCTGGGACTGTTCCCACCCACCCTGCCTTTAAGGTGAGGCACACGCCAGAGGCCTGGCCCGCCCGTGTGTTCAATCCCTCTGATCACCAAGACTGGTTCAAATGTGTCCACATGATGCACATCAGTCCAGGAGAACTCAACCTCAGGACTTTTGCAGGAGCCATGAGTGGAGCCATCTTCTCTTAAGGGTAATGAAGGCTAGAGCCACAGGATGCCACCTCGTGGACAGGGCCTGCCCAGGAGCAAAACTGAAAAAGTAAAAACAAAATTTTCAATTATATAATAACACTGAAAACAGAAATTTAGGTTTGTGAGATCCTCAAATAAAACGGCAGCCCATAGGATCATACACAGGAGGTCCTCGATAATGATATGTTAGCAGAATAGAAGAGGATGCTGTAGATTCCATGCTGCTCAACTCTTAGAAATGCTGTTCTGTCTCCTGGGAATTGGCTGGCCTTCTTGTAGAGTGGACCATCAGAACAAAAGCCCAGAGCTCCAGGCTTATCCATCAGACCCCAGTGGTCCCAGCAATTTTTGGAATCCTATCTCTGTCACTAGGAAGCTATGTGGGTAAGACAGGCAACATAGTTTGGCTTCATCTTTTATGAAAGAGGGATAAGGGTGACTTGTTTTGAAGTCTAAGGGACTTGTTTTGACCTGGTTGTGAGAATGTCATGAGACAATAAGAAAGAGACCATTTTCCATTCGTCAGTTCAAGTTGGACGCTAAAGTCATCTTCTTTGAGATGTGTCTGGAGAGCAGCACTAGAAATTTACTCTTTGGAGTCATTTCTGGAAAGAGTTTGTGTACAAATTAAACTGAGAGAGTCCGAATATAGTATACTAGACCTGCTATGGTCACTGTTAGATATCACTAAACACCATCCTGCTTATTCTGCCAGCTGGGAACATGCGACTTTAGTTACTTGTTTAAATACATATTGGCTTCTCCCACAGATTTCTCATCCAGCAGTTCTTGCACAGGCAGAACTCTTATTAGCTTTAATAAAAATTTAAAATATGAAAAGTTGTTAGGAGATGGCTGATATTTTATTCATACAGCTGATGATTATTTTAAATGTTTTAATTACCCCCACTGGTACCCTATGGCTGATTATGGGGAAAATACTATTTATTCATCAAAATTCCACAAATGTAAAACAAGCTGATACAGAGTGAAGAATAGACTCCCCTAGAAGTGCTTTCCCCCCAAACTAGGGACCTTATGCATCACTAATTATATGTCTCAGAGCAAGCTGATTTATGAGAGAATGGCAGACATGATGAGAATGACGGAGATGATGTTTGGATTGATTTGATTTTGCTGCACTTGTTATAACGTAAGAAAGTTTTCCATAAGAGCAAAGTAAAAATAATTATCCCAACCTCAAATTACTGTCTTTGAATTGGAGTTGATTTTATAATGGCTTATCTTTATCCCACAGATTTTTCAATGTTAGTTATTGGCATTTTTTCAGCTGAGCAGATTTGGGAGAGTTGTGCTGATGGCTCAAATATCCCATCTAAATTTGATTCTCTGATAGCAATGGGTGGATGACTCACCTCTCATAGGAGCGATGGAAGTTGGATCGTTGTGTCAATCACGGAGAGTGGATTGAACGTCTGCACCAAGAGATAGATAGTATCATCCCCTTCCATTAAATAACAATCTTCATTTCTAGCGGGTATAAGAATTTCATCTTCAATAATTGATCAGTGTGACAGAAAATCTGTTGTTGGTGAAGCATGTTTGAAATTATATTATTCCATCGTTCTCATCTCAGACACTTTCCATCTGCTCCTCAAATTCAATGTGCATTGCAAGACACAGCTCCATTTCATACAGCAACTGATTGCCCTTATTTCTTAAATTTGCTTTATCTAAAAAGAGCAAAGGCAAACTTCCCTCTGAGGGCTTCATGGTCTATATTTTATATGTTGATATTAAATTAAATGAAAGTCGATATGGCATCCTATGTTTGCTAACTGCAAAATAGTCTTAAGCTCCTTTTGACAAGGACAGCTTCCTGGCAAAAGTGTATTGCCAATAGAAATCTGTTTGTTTTGCACAGTGGAAATGAACAGAGAGAAATTCATAGTATAAGAGAGTAGATCAATGGCTCTGTGAGAAACTCATAGGATGCTCTTCTCGCTGTTTCTCTCACTTAGAGATTGATCAAGAAAGGTGCTACGGTAAAAATTGCCTCTTGTGGTCTGGGTGACATTTTCCATCAATCCTGATGACTAAGTGCTATGCAGATAAATTGGTCTTCTTCCTGCCTGTGGGGGATTGTGCATGACTGGAAATGTTGGCACCAAACGGGGCTGACAGGTGTGTCATAAGTCAACTGACTTCTGAAGGAGAAAGTGCCAGATCCTTCTGCCATGGCGCAGGCAACATGTAATCATTCTGAAACCACGTGCATGGTTGAGTTCAATTTTTAGAGGCATTTGTTAATTACAGTCAATTGTAGTGAGCTGGGGATTTCAAGTGGAAAATCAAATGATCTAATTAGATGGGGATGTAGTACAGGCTGAGAGAATAAGACTGGATTGAGAGTCAGCCAATCCAAGTTCTGCATCCTGCACTCTGCTCATGGCTCTGACCTTTAAGAACTCAGCTTATCTCTAACTCTCATCTACAAAAGAACTCAGCTGATAAAATCTCCTCTCTCTCTAACATTCACTAAATCAGAATTAATTTTTTTTTCTATGTTAGTAAAAGAAATTCAATAATTCAGAGCTACATTGACCCATATAGTCTCATTTGGGTATTTAAATGTAAATCTAAATTAATTAAAATTAAGTGAAAATGAATATATAATTCCTCAGTCTCTCTAGCCATACTTCTAGTGTTTAATATGCACATGTGGCTAATCAGCAGGGCAGATTACAGAACATTTCTATTTTTTGCAGAAAGCACTGATTTTTAAAGACTATTGTCACTCTCTAGAAGTATATAAATGTTTGTTAGATGAGTTAAGTGATAAAATAAGAGATTAAAAAAAAAAACTTATTACTAATACCAGTCCAACAAAGAGCTACAACCAAAAAACAATCTGAAAAATTATGTTCAGTATTGAGAATGAAAATTCTCTTCTATTCTTGGCAATGTTGTGAAGTTACACATGGACTATTACGTATAATTGACTCTGCAGTTTCTTGAGAAGTAAGTTGAAAGTGGAAAAGAAGTAGAGACAAACAGCTGTAATGGTCAATTTAATGTGTCAACCTGAATAGACTATAGCACCCAGCTATTAAATCAAACAGTAACCTAGGAGTTGCTGTGAATGTGTTTTGTACATGTGTTAACATCTATTAAGTGAAGAAAATTACCTCAATAACATTGGATAGGCCTTATCCAATCATTTGAAAGGCCTTAAGATCAAAAAGCTGATTTATCAGACAAGATGAAATTCTGCCTCAAAACTACAACATAGAACTCCTGCCTATTTCCAACTTACTGGCCTGCCCTGTAGATTCCAGATTTGCCACACTTCACAATCACATAAACTAAATCCTTAAAATAAATTTAAAAAAATACATATCCATATATGTATGTGTGTATGTATGTGTATGTGTGTGTATGTTCTATTCGTTTTGTTTCTCTCGAGAATCTTCACTGATTAAGAGATTTGGGTACTAGGAAGTGAGGTGCTACACCAAAACAAAGCAAAACAAAACAAAAAAAGCTAAAAATGTGGAAATGACTTTGGAATTGAGTCATGGGAGGAGGGTGGAAGAGGTTTGAGGTGGAAAACTAGGCTCTGATAGATCCAAGATCTTTGATGAAACATGGTAGAAATCAGGACTTCCAAGATGACTCTAATGAGAAGTCAGAAAGAAGTGAGGACAATAAAGCTTCTATTGTATTAGAGAACATATGTATTGTCGTGAATAGAATATTTTTAGAAATATGAACATGAAATGCTACTGGTGAGGTCTCAGACAGACATGAAGAACATGTTGTTGGAAACTAGAGAAAAGAAGAACTTTGTTATGAAGTTGCAGGAAACCTGACAAAATTTTGTTCTGCTATTGGGTGGAAAGTACAACTTGTAAGCAATGAAGTTGAATATTTCAATGAGATTTCCAAGCTAGGTGTAGGAGGTGTGGTCTTGTTTCTCCTAGTAAATTGGGAAAGAAAACAGATGAATTTTAAAAGGAATTTTTAAACAAAAAAAGGAAGCAGAACTTGATGGTGGGGAACATTCTCAGCCTCTCCATATTGCAAAGCATGAGACAGCATGTTCTAAAAAGAACACCCAGGCTACGGCTAGCCAACCTTTAGCTGGAGCATTTCAGCATATGATTTATGCATCCCATCAATGATCTCAGCAAAATTCAGAAATAGAGATGGGTTATCCAGGGAAGGTCTGTGGAAAGACTTTATATCTAATGGCACAGTCTCTTTGATATCCCCAGAGATGGGCAAGGTTACACTGCTCAAAACTGCAGCTTAGATGGAATGGAGAGAAGGGAAGGCTATGGGACTTCTGGGATTCCACAGGCAGAAAACGCTAATCAAGCTCCTAAGTGTGACACATTTCAAGCAAAACTAAAGAAGACTTTTTGAGCAGAGACATAGCCTGAGGGGCTAGAGCTGCCACTCTTGTGGGCCAAGAAGAAACAGCTGATGCCTCAACCCCAGCAGAAGAGCATTAACCAACAAATGGAACCTGCCTTTTGGGTTGCAAACGTGCTGGGGATTCATGACTTCTTTTTTCCTTCCAAATTCTCTTTTTTGAATTGATAATTTCTACCCTATGCTTGTCCTATAATTATATTCTAGAAGCAGATCATTTGTTTTCTGTAAAAAAATTGAGAGAAATTTTATCCCAGGAGAGACCATACCCAAAGTCTCCCCCATATTTGATTTAGATGAAATTTTGAACTTTTTTGGTTAATGCTGTTTAATGATTTTTGTTTATTTTACAATTGATGTTGGAATGGTTAGGACTTCAGAATGTCATGTTGGAGTGAATGTATTTTGCACACAGGAACATGAACTTTTGGGAGCCAGATAGTAGACTATGCTTGATTAAATGGTGTGTCTCCAAAATTCAGATCGACTTGGAACTGAAAATGCATCCTGTGTGGAAATGGAATTTTTACCGCTATTTGGACATGAGGACATCCAGACACACACAGAAAATGACCATGCAAACATGGAGGTGAAATAGGAACGAGGTTGCCACAGACAAAGGAATGCAAGGAAGCCAGTAACCTTCAGAAGCTGGAAGGAGCAAGGAAGGATTCTTCAGTTTTCAGCTGGAGCATGGTTCTGCTAACAGCTGGACTTCAGGCTTCTGAATTCCAGAACTGTGACAAAATAAGTGTCTGTTACTTTAAGCCACCCTATTTGTACTGATCTTCTATAGTAAATCTGGAAAACTAATACAGCACCTAAAGTTACCTGGGTGGTAAAAGGGAAAGAGCTAAATAAAAGCCTAATAATCCATCTTTCTTATAAGGCAAAAAATCAATAAAAGAAATAAATGTATTCCATAATGAAAATTTAAATAATGATAGATTATTTAGGCAACTCGTTTATTTTATTTAAAAAAATGCTCCTTAGACACAAACAGATAAATTTAAAACAAATGAATTAAAATAAAAAATCATTTCATACCATGGGATATGAAAACAGAGTCAACAAGAGACACAGGCTGAAGGGGTTTGCATGAATCCTTTGGAGACAGGTATACATATGACTACAATAGTTAGAAGAATTTTTTTTAATGTTAATGATTTAATCTTAAATTGGGATCCAGTCTGAAATCCCACAACTCAACCATGACGTAGTATCTAGGTAGGACACAATATAGCAAGCCTGTGTTCACAGATAGCATATATCCAAATAAAGGGAAATGTTTTTTTCAAAATCTATCACTCTAAAATTGCATTTTTCCTAAGTGTGTTCAATGGCTGGTAATGGGAATTTTGTAAATATACCTGAGATAATTTTGAGTTGAGTGGCTTTCTTGACTTTTCTATTGGACTTAAATTTGTATTAATGCACCCTGAGATGCTCTCAGAGGGAGATATTGTGTGCAAGAACCCCAAATTATTTCTCTGCTGAACCCCTAATTCGTGGATCATATTTTGGTCTGTGAGATCAAATTCAATTATGAAGCTTTAGAAAGATGTATACCCTCTACTCGAAGTGTCCACCAAAGTAAGCACACATTTTTCATATCTTTCTGTCCTATAAGCATATGAGTTTGAAGGTAGGGAAGGAGGTTAAAATAATATCTTTTAATTTAAAGGAGAGTTTATTTAAAGTCTAATATTCAAGAACTTACAGCAATACTTACCTTTCACTCACCATTCTTCTATGCACTCTTTGATTATCCACTCTTTCAGTTTTTTGATATATATAAAGGATTAGCCTCATTCTGGGAAATTACACAAAATAACCTAATAGCCATTAAGAGGGGCTCAGAAGACAGTTATCATTGATGCATTAGAAGACTGTAAAATGGCACCTGTAACAATTTAATGAAATTACCTAAATTACTCCATCTAGAGAAATAGAAAAACAAGCCTAATCTGGGTTAGGTTTCTTCAATCATTCCTTATACAAATCTTGATAGTGCGCATCTACCATGAAAAGGCATGAGCAGTTTTAGATTTTAGAGATTTGACTAAACTCTAAAGCAGAAGAAATGGACTTCACAATTATAAGAACAGAAGCAACACTATTTCAGGACCCACTTATATGCTCACCATAGAGTATCCCCAAGTGCCCCCAGTGCCCAAAACAGCTTCTTGCTTCCAGTACAAATAAATGTCCCATTGCCTGCCTGGTGGGACAGTCGGAGGAAAGCATGAAACTCTAGGGTGAGGGCATTTCTATGTTGAGGACTGAAAGCTTCAAAGAGGAGTTGGGGAAGAAAGTGAGAATGTGCTTAGAGAATAAGATCTGGACTCCCTCCACCTGCAGAAAGATGCTAAAAATATTGTTTATGAGGGAAGGAGAGACAATTGAAAGAGCACAACTCACCTGTATCTTTCCCACTAAGACACTCAGCCTACATCCTTTAATTCCTTATCTATTAACTGGTGACAATACCCACCCACTAAAACTATGCAAGTATAGATAATGTCTGTATAAAGAATCCCATAAGTACATAAAAATCTATAGTAGAATAGCTCAGATAGAGTAAGCAAATAATAAATAATAATTATTTTATATTCTTACAAAATGATTGCCAATATGCACTGAAAGCCTGTAGGGTTTTTCTGATGAGTATATTGCCTTTACATTGACCAAATCATATCTTGTTTCCATTATTTACTAGGAGTGTGACCTTCAGGAAGCCATTCAATCTCTCCAAACCACAGCCCCCTCTCATCTATAAAATGGACATATAAAAACAGTACGAGGTTGCAGTCAAGATTAGATGAGACTAAGCATGAAAGCACTTACTTCAATGTTGGTTCCAAACCAAATAATAAAAATAATCTCCTTTGATGATACAGTATTCTGATTTATTAGTTTATTAATAGGAGCTTTAGTTGGGAAGTAAGATTCATTACTCATAAGATTGATGATAATTAAATTTCATTCTGCTACATATGGATTTCCAGTTTTCCCAGCACCATTTGTTGATGAGACTATCTTTCCTCCAATGTATGTTTATAGTGCCTTTGTTTAGAATGAGATACCTGTATTTATGTGGGTTTTTCCTCTATGTTTTCTATTCAATTCCATTTATCTTCATATCTGTTTTGGTGTGAATACCATGCTTTTGTTTGTTAGTATAGCAATGTATTGAATTTAAGGTCTACTATTGGTCTTTATGTCTATTTTGATGTGAATGCCATGCTTTTTTTGTGGTTGTTGTTATTATAGCTCTGTAGTATAATTTAAGGTCTGGTTTTGTGATGCCTCCTGCATCACTTTTCTCATTAAGAATTGCTTTGGCTATTCTGATCCTTTTATCCTTCCAAATGAATTTTAGGACTGCTTTTACTATTTCTATGAAAAATATCATTGGGATTTTAATAGGAATTACATTCAATATATATAGGACTTTTGGTAGTATGGCCATTTTGATAATATTATTTCTGCCTATCCAAGAACATGGGAGACCTTTCCATCTTCTAAGGTTTTCTTCAATTTCTTTCTATAGTGTTCTAAAGTTTCATCATAGAGATCTTTAACACCTTTAGTTAAATTGATTCTCAACTATTTTTTTTGAGGCTGTTGTGAATGGGATAGTTTTTCTAATTTCTCTTTCAGCTGATTGATCATTGGTGTATAGAAATGCAATTGATTTATGGGTGTTGATTTTACATCCTGCTACTTTGCTGAATTCATTTATGATTCTAAAAGTTTTCTAGTGCCCTTCAACAGATAAATGGATAAAGAAAATGTGATGTATATACACAATGTAATATTACTCATCCCTATAGAATAATGAAATTATGACATTTGTTGGTAAGTGAAATCAGCCAACCTAAAAAAAAACCAAGATCAAATGTTCTCTTTAATATGTGGATGCTAACACACAACACGAGTGGGGAGGAGAAGAATAGAAGTTCACTGGATTAGACAAAGCAGAATGAAGGAGAAGGAGGGAAAGGGAATAGGAAAGACAGAATGAATATGACATAACTTTCCTGTGTTCACATATGAATACACCATCAGTGAAAATCCACATCAAGAAAGGGATCCTAATTAGAATAAGTTATACTCCCTGTGTATGTATGTCAAAATACTCTACTGTCATGTATATGTAAAAAGAACAAATAAAACATAAAACAAAAGCTGGAAAAAAGTGATGATAACTAGCTAGCAGGAATCCTATTTACAATTATTTTGCAAAGTTTATACAAAGTCTGTCTATCTTACATTCTCTTATGAGTTTCCATCTATTTTCATCATGAAGCCTTCTTTAAGACAGTCCAAATAATCACTGTGGTCACCAGGTCTTCTCTTACATCTTGTTTGACTTTTCCTAGACTTAAAATGGGAAGTTATTATTTCTCCCCCTGCTATGATATCAAGTAAACTATATTTTCTTTAATTGAAAGGTCTATTTCTTATTGAGTAAAGCAGTTTAGAAACTGGGGGCTTGGATTCTACAGCAAGGAATGGTGTGATTTCTCAAATTACTAAACATTCAAATGCCGTATTTGTTTCAGAATTTTTAAAAATGTTTTTACTAGGGAATTATAGGTATACATAATAGTGTGGTTCATTTTAACATAATATATATTTATGGATTATAATTTGTTCCATTTCAATTCCCAGTACTTCCTTTTTTTTCTCCCTTTCCCCTTCTCCTGTTCCCTTTCCTCTACTCTACCGATCTCTTTTCTCTTTTTGTAGAATTCCTCCCTCCCTCCCTCCCTCCCTTTCCCGTCATTTTGCTATAGCTTCTACATTATGAGAGAAAACATCCAACCCTTAAATTTCTGAGTTTTATTTCACTTGGCATGATGTTCTCTAGTTCCATCCATTTGCCAGAAAATGCCATAATTTTATTCTTCTATATGAGTGCATAAAACCTCATTGTGTGTATGTGTCACATTTTCTTTATCCATTTCATCTGTTCACAAGCACCTGGGCTGGTTCATAACATTTCAATTGTGAATGCACAGCTATAAACACGGATGAGCCTGTATCTCTATAGTACACTGATTTTAGTTCTTGGGTAAGTACCAAGAGTGGGGTAGCTGGGTGGTTCCATTCCTAGTCTTTTGAGGAATCTCCATGATGCTTTCCAAAGTGGTTGTACTAATTTGCCATCCCACCAACAATATATGATCTACCTTTTTACCCATGTCCTCTCCAGCTTTTATTATTTGGATTCTTGATGATTGCTATTCTAATTAGAATGAGATAAAATCTCAATGTAGCTTTGATTTGCATTTCCCTAATTACTAGAGATGTCGAACATTTTTTTGTATATTTGTTGGCCATTTGTATTTCTTCTTTGGGGGAATGACTATTTAGGGTCTTCTGCCCGTTATTAATTGGGTCATTTGTTTTATTGGGATAAGGTTTTTTGAGTTCTTTATATATTTCTGGATATTAATCCACTGTTGGAGGTGTAGCTGGCAAAGATTCTCTCCCGTTCTATAGGCTCTCTCTTCACTATCTTAATTGTTTCCTTTGTTGTGCAGAAACTTTTTAATAGGATGCCATCCCACCCATTGACTAGGAATTAGACCATAAACTTTGCAACTGCTAGAAGAAAATGTGGGGTTAAAACTCCAACATATTGGCAAAGGCACCAACTTCCTTAGCAAGACCTCTAAAATTCAATAAATAAAAAAAAAAAAGCCTCATTTTGAAACAGGGGGAGGTGACATTGTAGGGAAAACAGGAGACCTGAATAATATGAAGCCAGCCATTCAAAGATACTGGAGGGGGGGGAGATGAATAATGACTAATCTAGAAAAAGGAACAGCGGGGGCAAAGACCGGCAGGAGAGAACAAAGATTGTTCAAGAAGAGGGGGTGGTATTTGGCTGTCAGCATTCCATAGCTGAAAGTTTATGAGAAAAGATACATATCTTATACTTTATATTAAGTTGCTCCTGCTTCTAGCATTGTGACTCAGTTTGCTGATAAATTGATTCTCTGCTAGAAGTTTCCCTCCAGTTTTATGTATTTTCTGATATCCTTAACCATATGCAATGGTTTCCCACTAAATCTCTGTGCACCCAAGTAATTTCACTCCCCACTTGGTGTCTCTGGTTTCTAGCATTGTAATGGGAAACTATTATGATAGTCCCTCAACAGCATTATCCGTTATCACCTCTTCCCCCAGAAGCCAATTATCTATCTCATTCATTCCTCTGCTCAGAGCCTCCTTCAATTCATCTCTATCCTTCTGCTGCTGAGCTACAAAATGGAATCGGTTTTTCTCTAAAAACAGTATTACCAAAGAACAGAAGGACAATCTTCTCCACATGCTGTGACTCCATAATTTTTGTGCCCCATCCCAAGCAGTCTGTTTATTTTCTGTTACTAGATACCATTACAAAATCAAATCTGCTTTTCTGCCCACTCCTCCCCTACCAGTCTTGCAGGGAGCTTTCCAGGATTTGTCTCACCCACTTAGTGTCTGTTGTAGATATCCTCTCCCCAGGTTGTGTGCTGCACTTTTTCTGAGCCGAATCTCAACTTCAACTTGGCCCATACTTTGTCATTTTATGTCTGGAAGCATTTCTCAATTATTTCTGTGTTCAGCAGTGTTTTAGGGAATCCAGCCAACTGTGAGCATCTAATCCTAAATGAATAGAATCAGAAATTCTTAACCGTGATGTTCCCAGGGCAAAATTTCACTAGAAAGGTAGCTTTCCCTGAGAAGAAGTGAAAGCCAGAGGCAGAACATTTTGAGAACAGAGCTCCACGGGTGTTGGACTGTGAGCCTAGAGACCCACACGCAGGTGTGACTCTGCATTCCATGCAGCCCTGAGCCCAACAGTACTCTCCGGTGATCAGCTTGTTCTTCCAGAAAACAAAGAGAACTCTTTGTGGTATTTAAACATAATTATCAGGGGACATTTTAAAAAAACATTTATACCCTCAGATGAATTCATTGTACAAAAATGGCACCACTGGGCTTTGCAGTTGAGGATTACTCAGTCCATCCATCTATCTACTCATCCCCTTGATGGTCCTCCATGGATCCCTGAGAAGGCTCAAAACACAATTCATAACACCTTGGGCTGGATGGCTCTGTAGGTTCCTCGCCACTCACCAGATCTCTAAGTGATCATTTGAAGGTAGGAAGAGAAATGTGTGGAAATGAATAAAAAGCAGAATTAAAAGAGATGAGCCATAATTGAACATCTATTATATCCAAGCAATGAGACTTAGAGGTGACAATAAAAGCCTTCAGCAATTGAAGATATATGTGGATCCCAACAGAAGTTGGGACATAAAATCAAAATTATATATCAAATACATAGCCACTCTATTTCTTTTTTGGTTATTATATGCCATTAACTCTTCTCAAAGAGTGTTATTGAGCATTTAACATTCCTGTAGTATATCCGGCAGCAGTCTATCCCTGACACACATTTGCAGAGAGCAGGAAGTCACACTCTCTCTGGACAGTCTGGTTAAAGTAGGACAGAAGAAATGATACTATATCAGAGGTTTTGAGTGGAGTGTTTCAACATTCCCATTCTTCCACCTAGCTGGACAATCACTGTGACCAAAATACCTGACAAGATCAACTAGAGGAGGTAAAGTTTACCTGGGGCTCACAGATTCAGAGGTTGGCCAACTTCATGGCTCTGGGCCAAAGATGAGGCAGAACATGATGGTAGAAGGGCATGGTAGAGGAAAGCATCTCAGGACACAAGAGTCAGGAAGCAGAGAGAACTCCACTCATCAAGGACAAAATATAAACCCCAAAGGCATATCCCTAGTGACCTACTTCCTCCAACTACACCTTACACCTACAGTTAGTCCTAGTTACTGCCCAGATTAGGTTACAACTCTCTGGTTAGGCTACAACTCTCAAAAATCTAATCATTTCTGAAAATTCTTTAATTGTCTAACACATGAGATTTTTGTGGGGACAGCTCATATTTAAACTGTAACATGGGTTTTCTGAGTTGTCCTGATTGATCAGCAAGCATATTTATAGCCTTATATTTGGTAAAATTATTGAAATATCTGGATTAAAAAACCTCTTCCCACAAAGCATGTTTATACAAAGATTAGGCCATTCTCAACTTAAATCCTTCTTTTCCAGAGAGGTCATTGTGGACCAGATTCCCTAATTTTAAATTAGATCTCAATATTTTTCCCTCTCTTCCTCTCTTTTACTTTGCTTCATCAATATTATATAATTTTTAAATTTAATACTTTTATTATTAAGTATTATTTAA